TTACTTTAAGTTCAAAATTTGTGAAAGCTAATTTTTTGCAAATTCTGATGAGAAACTTAAAAGTAAATTTGAACCTAAATATAAAAAGGTTTTAAGTATTTGGGAAGAACATTCTTTAGAATTAGATTTTTAGATCGCAAGATTGCATTCAAAATAAGAAAACGAAAAAATAACAGCATAATGCGCACGTGGTTTTTATTATGAAATAAAAAGAACAATTACGATGAAGTCTCCTTGATTTGAAATATTATTACATTGGTATAAATATTGGAAGGAAAATACTCCGATTTATTGTTTTAATATTACCAAAGTGGCAAGGCCGATAATAATACTCAATGATTAAAACCATATATGTAATACTTCTATATTGATAGTAAGCTAACATCTCAATGTGTAAGCATTCCGAAATCAAAGCGAGACAGTCTAGTACTGTTTAGGAGCATTACATATATGTGACCTGGTCTAAAGGGGGCTTAGGTGTCAAAAAATCAATTTTCACTTTTTGGTTGATTCGGATGGAAGATGAGATGCTTTTTCACGTGGTGAAAAGCAGAAAATCCTAACTTGCTTAGAAGTGTACTAAAAATGTAGAGAAAGAAGAGTAAAAATACGACAACATATATTTTTAAATGTTCCACACAAGCAACTTACACGATGAACTATAATAATATTCCGACCAACAACAACACTTACTGGACCAACAACAACACTTACTGGACGTCCGGCGCGGAGAACAATTAACGAGATAACGAGAAACTGACGAAACAAGTTGCTTACTTTTAACAGCTTTTTCACAGAAAACTAGTTTTCGCACGTAAGCTCCCTTTTCGTAGACCAGGTCACATATGATTAAAACCATGATACAAAAAAGAAGGTAGTTTCAATAAACTACTTTTGACGGATAATAAAATTTTTTGAAGTTTCATAAATTGTGAGTATTCTCAACGGCCTTGCCACTTTCTTTCCCACATTTATACCAATTTAAAAATATTTCAAATCAAAAATCATTATCAGTGCTTGGTTATTTTTTTACTTACGTGGTTCGCACCTTTTTTTTATTAAAAATACTATATAAAATATGTAATGTTAAAGGAGACTTCATTGAAATTGTTCTTTTTATTTTAAAACAAAAATCACGAAAGCATTATGTTGTTATTTTTTCATTCTCTAATTTTGAATGCAATCTTGCGATTTAAAAATCTAATTCTAAAGAATGCTCTTTCCAAATAAATCTTTTTATAATCGCATGCCAATTCCATGTGAATAAATTGTTCTCATAACTTAACATGCAANTATATAATATGTAATGTTAAAGGAGACTTCATTGAAATTGTTCTTTTTATTTTATAACAAAAATCACGAAAGCATTATGTTGTTATTTTTTCATTCTCTTATTTTGAATGCAATCTTGCGATTTAAAAATCTAATTCTAAAGAATGCTCTTTCCAAATAAATCTTTTTATAATTCCATGCCAATTCCATGTGAATAAATTGTTCTCATAACTTAACATGCAAAACAAAAACAAATTGGGAAAAATTATTTTTGTTTTGCTTTATTTTGGCAATATTTGTTCACATGAAATTCATGATTCGTAATGAAATTTGCGAAAATTTACTTTTTAATTTCTCGTCAGATTTTGCAAAAAATTTGGCTTTGTGGTTAGTTCACCATTAACTTCAACAAATTTCGAATTTAAAATTTCCAATGTACCTATTCCAAAAACTTGAATTCGGCTTGCGCAGAGCGCCCTCCGATAAGCAGTTAGCATAAGTATAATTTTGATCACTTTCTTCATCCGTTCTGAAACCTAGGTTCGTCAACATCCTTTTAGAGATTTTGCATTAATTTTCAGTTTCATCATATTCGACATCTTTGAGCGGACTGATGAAATCTGAAAAATATTACTCCTCGTGATCAGGTAGCATGAATTTAATGAAATGTCATAATTTTATTAAAAGTCAAATGGTTAACAACAACAACGAATGTCATTAAATGAAACTACCCTCTATTTTGTATCATGGTTTTAATCATGATACAAAAAAGAAGGTAGTTTCAATAAACAACTTTTTGATTAAAAAGGAATTGTTCACAATTGCTCAATTGTAAAAAATTCGAAGCAGCGTTACCCAATTTAAGTTTTTGGTGGAAGGGATTTTCTATCCTAAATTTGGGAGTATAAATAAAATAGTTGTATTAACATTTACCTTTAAAAATAATTAATATCCTATCTTAAAAACGTTTAAACCTTACATTAAATTCGATATCTACCTGCCAAAATCTTTATTTCTACATTAATAAAATTTTAGTGAGCATATTTTAAAATTTTTTTAGTGTCATTATGTCACCTGAATATTTCACAATGTAGNCTATTAAAGTTTTTCTTATACCAATCTTAGAAAAATGTTAAAAAAACGGCATAAAAATCTCATCATTACGATTCCGTTAATTTTTTTTTATTTTTTTTTATGTTTTTATGCAAGTTTTTTAAGCTTAAACCGTTTTGTCATTTGAGGTGATTTTTTCAAAAAAAAACTTTAAGAAACAATTTTTATTCATAAAAAACTCCATTTTTAGAGGTATTTTGAAATCGGTCCAGCTCACGTAAATCTTAATATTTTTCCGAAATATTTTGGTGGACGTCTTAAAATGGGTACTGTTTAGTAAGTGGCCCACCTATTTCGGGGTATTGCGTCCAAAGGGGTGACCCGATCCAAAAAAAAATTGCACACACTTGTAGCCAAGGGTCTCCCCATTATTTTAACATCCACTATTGTAATTTTTGGTCACTAATTTATTAACAAATTGGGTTTGAAACATGCCCCTTTTTGTAAAATTTGGAAATTAGCGTACATTTATCACTCCTATTCTCCTTAAAGCAGCCACTTCACCAATTCATTTTTGTATTCCCCTTCACTTTACACTTTACTCGATTAGTTATAACTTGATTTACGACTTTAATATTAACCAATTAATCACAATTCATTAAATAAAAACACCTTCAAAATCACGCGTCTGACTTTGGTTGCACATGCAAATTAAATGGCGGAGTTCAGCTGTCAAACTCCGAAATATGCAAAAGAATGAGAGACAAAAGAAGATAGGATATAACCCAGTAAGCATTAAAAATATACAAAGGTGTTCTCTGCAAAAGGTGTTCAGCTCCTTTTTTTCGCAAAACAGAAAGGAGGGTTATAATCCCTAAGTGCGGCCGAAGGCCGCCTACGCAGAAAGGTGTTCTCTGCAAAAGGTGTTCAGCCCCCTTTCTTTGGCAACACAGAAAAGAATTCTACGTAGTGAGGGTTATAATCCCTAAGTGCGGCCGAAGGCCGCCTACGCAGAAAGGTGTTCTCTGCAAAAGGTATTCAGCCCCCTTTCTTTGGCAACACAGAAGAGAATTCTACGTAGTGAGGGTTATAATCCCTAAGTGCGGCCGAAGGCCGCCTACGCAAAAAGAAGTTCTGCGCTAAAATACTATCATATTACTATTACTACAACATTTCTATCTGTCGCTTTTTTCTTGATTTCACAATATTTTTAGTTAAGGTTTGTTTCCTTAATTTTTTTTAGTTAATTTTTTTTTCAAATCGCCTGATAACCAACTTGGGATAATATCTTTTATTTAAAAATCCAACGGTTTTCGTTAGTTTGGTTATATTCCACTTCAAACTGCTCAGTTGCCTCGGAAAATGCCGTTTTTACCCCATTTTCAAACGGTTCCCTAGGGGTCTGTGGGAGGTCCCCAAGGGGGGGNCCGAAGGCCGCCTACGCAAAAAGAAGTTCTGCGCTAAAATACTATCATATTACTATTACTACAACATTTCTATCTGTCGCTTTTTTCTTGATTTCACAATATTTTTAGTTAAGGTTTGTTTCCTTAATTTTTTTTAGTTAATTTTTTTTTCAAATCGCCTGATAACCAACTTGGGATAATATCTTTTATTTAAAAATCCAACGGTTTTCGTTAGTTTGGTTATATTCCACTTCAAACTGCTCAGTTGCCTCGGAAAATGCCGTTTTTACCCCATTTTCAAACGGTTCCCTAGAGGTCTGTGGGAAGTCCCCAAGGGGGTGGGGCTTTTCGTAAAGTGGCGACTGCCCCCTTTCGAATGAGGGGGGTTTGGGGGGCCACGCCCCTCCCCCTCCGCCCCCCCACCCCAAAAACGATGGGCCAATAACTAAACGTTTCCCCTTAAAATACAATCGATTTTATAATTCCAATGGAAAAATAGTACCGATTTTTTTTTGTATGGGGAGTGATGCAGTGTAATGTACATATGTATAAGCACTCTATTTAGTTTGCTCGATCTGTAAACAAAGCTTCCCAGCGGTGAAAAATATACTATTGTGAACAACCTAAACGAGCGAAATTCACAATAGCGCTATTCTTCATCGAATGAGGGCCATAATACCAAATGAAGATTCGTTCCGATTAGCACTTTCGACCACAGTCGAAGATCGAATGCAACTCATAATAAGGGCCATAATCACTTTTTTAAAGGCAGAAAAGGCAAAAAGGCAACATCCAATGTATATATATGGAATCAGGGGAAGCTAAATCGTGGACTTTCTTAATCGAATATATATCTCTTCAGCAGAAAAAAATGCAATTTCCATAAAATCCGTTCCCTGATCATCGCTAACACATACTTTACGATCTCCATTAATTACTACACCTCGACAAGCCATCCCGAGCTATGTCGACCCCATCGAGTTGCTTAAAAACCAACCTATAGCAATGTACATCTAATATATAATTTTCTCAAAGAGGTAGACCTCAGACGAATATAACACATAATAGTATAAAGCGGAGATGGCAAAAGCATTTTGCACTTAGGAGCCGGTTGGCACATTTAGGTGCTAGATGATGGGAACATCAAGAGCCAGCATGAAGGGGGAAGAGCATATTAAAGATTTTTGTACTCTGACTCTCATCACTAATATAAATGATGCTTTCGATGTATTTTTTACACGCCCTTTACCCTGAGAACATATTTAACTCTTACGTAGCTCTTGCTGGCTCTTTGACTGCTTTAAGGGCCGAAAATCTGCCCATTCCTGGAATAAAGCAAAATGCAAAGATAGATATTTTCATTCGAATAAGATGCAAAGGACAGCTGAGGGACTTCGTCGCCAGTGCTGCGAATCGTAATGTATTTGTAGAATATTTATTTATTGTACAAATATAGTAAAAAAAAAATATATAAAATAAAATAAATATTTTGATTACCTCGATCGCTATCAGTTCTGCTGCTAATCCTTTGCAATCCACATTTTCAAAATGTTCGTCTACAGCAATAACTGGTTTTCTGGGATCTGATCCAGCACGAAGTCCCTTAGGATAACCACGTATGCTTGTATTTAAATACAAAATATTGGACTTCTTCTCCAATATCACAAACCTTAAAATATATATATATGTATGTCACATGCATAAGTACGAATTAAAACATTTTCATACTTTGGAAAAAGTTGAAGAATGCAACTACCTTCCCCTCCCGTATACAAATGCGTTTCTTTCCATTCAGTTGGCGAGGCAATGCAATAAGTCTGGTCGTCCTTGGTGTGTATTAAAACAAGTGTTGGTCCGCGGTAGCCAAGAACATGGTGCAGAAACCGATTAGCACCCAACCCATGTTCATTCGAGTCATATAATAAAGCCCAATGTGATGGCATCATGGAAAGTTTATCTTTGAAAATTTGCGCTGCAGATGACTTATTAGCGTTTGGAGATTGGATGGTCTGCGGTTTGGAGTAAAGTGGTGGAAGGGCGCCTGCCAATAGCCACGCTTGTGATAATGGCATTAAGGACTCGTATTTTGAATTACCAGTATCTCTGCCGGCAGCATCAGGAAATGGATTACGTTGTTCCAACACTGGTGTTTGTAGTTCAATGCCGCATGATTGATTATGTTGTTCAAGACCTCTATAAGCAGTTGACAATGTATGTACACAATATTTATGCACCAACGCGACCAAACGAATAAGATTCTGTTCAAACCAACGACAAACAAAGCCTACACTTAGATTGTCGTGGCTAAAAAATATTGATTTGGTCACCGAACCGAAGGTTCGATTGATCTGCAATAAAAAATATAAACAAATTATGCTCAGAGAAATTTTCCCTACAGGAATTTCCTTACCGCTGGGCATAATATTGCGTTGCCGGAGTGTTGCATAGCTATAGTATAGCACGTGAAAAGTAAGCGGGTCACTCCTTCTTTAGTAATAAAATCTGGATTGTCCTCTTCTGCAAACATTTTTATATAACATTCCAAAGTTTTGTCATCATCCATTATGCCAAGAAATCGTTCGCATTGTTGGCGGAATGCTACAGTACCAAGATAGGCAGTTGTAGCTTTCGATGCTGAATGCATTAGTCGAAAAAGTCGTTTACCTAAATCAGCATATTGAGGAAATACTTGCGACTGTGAAAGAAACACAAATCAGTATTTTTGCCATCGTCATAAAATGTATGATATGCACTCACCACAAATACGTCCGCAACTATGCCATTGACACTATGCTTGGCTGATTTCTCCTTAAGTATTTCGGATAACTTTTCAATTGGTACGAATTGTGTCAAATACTTCTCCGTAACATCCGCGCCTGATGCAGATCTACTCATAGATTTCTCCGCTTTCAAGAAAGCATGGTTGCTTGCTGTGGAAGACCCATCAACAATAGGAAGGGTAGGGGTTGATTTAAGGTGTTTTTCCTTGGCACCACCTGACCCTGCGTTAGTGCCGTCGCTGCAAGAGTCACTTCTAAAGTTTGAGTTTCCCATTGGACAACGTATTTATTTGCCGAATAGACCATTCACAGCTCAAGAAACAAAAATATTTCGAAATTCCCAATATCTGAACGAAAATAAGAAAAGACTGTCGATTCGAAGACAATAGCCAAGGCGTATTGAACAAGGTGGTGTTGGCCGTATATAAGTAAAAAATTACACTAACAAATTATACCCTGATGTCCATACTGTCATTGGCATGATTCAATAATACAAGGTTCGATAAACGGACAGTTGTCTCTCTCGCACCGCTCCCTTAGCAGTGGCACCTTGTTGCTTCTTTGCAAATTTACTTGGAAAAGTGTAGCTTTGGTGTGAAATTGAAGCAAGAATGATAGAATACAAGATTGCGCCAATCGAGCTGAGAGCAACTGGCCGTGACGTCAATAAATACCAGAATGAGAGAGCAAGACGAACTCGACAAGAAAAAGAGGAAGCATCGGACAAAAGGCAGTATTGCCAAGTTTTGAATTTGAAAAAGCACCAAATTTTTATTGGTGTATTTTATAGACTTTATATGCATACATAATTTTATTGTAAGGATGCCGATTCAAATTAATAAAAATCAATGTTTCTTGCACGACGGTTGATTTCTTCTGGCATGATTGAAGGTGCTGCTACATATTTTGTTGTCGCTTATGATTGTCACTGTGCCATGATTTTGTTAAAATTTTTGTAAAGTTGCTTACCACACTTACGATTGCTGTAAATTTTGCTTCCATTTTTTACGATTTTCTAGTTTGGTGTCTTCAAACTAAAAACAAAAGCACCAAAAACGCGCCAAGCACCAAACTCAAAAATTTTCGCGTTTTGAATACCCACTAAATTTGGTGCGAAAAGCATGAAGTTGGCAACAGGGAATGTAAACAAAAGTATTTTATGACGTCAGCGATTAGGTGGATGCTGTCAAATCGACGAAGAGAGGGTTAGCGGTCCGCGAATGGCGCGACCTTATAAGCTTTTTCTTTTTGTTTCTTTTGTTTACTTTTTACCGCTCTTCTTCTGCCATTGTTTACTATTCACGGTGCCCTATCAAACGTCAAAATTACTGGCCTACTACTATTTCAAGCAGAAGAAAGAACACGAACATTTTCTTGTGCATTTTCTTAAGAGCTGGATACAGCTGTATCCTGTATGCAGCTCTCAAGAAAACGGTCAAGAAAAAATTGCCATTATTTCGTATGTGTGTCCAAGGAATTTTGACATTTTTGATACTTCACAGCCTGTTGCCGCACTCTTTCCTCAAGAAATAATTGAACGGGCATATATTTCTGTTGCAAACCAGGGTTGCCAGTNTTGGAAAAGTGTAGCTTTGGTGTGAAATTGAAGCAAGAATGATAGAATACAAGATTGCGCCAATCGAGCTGAGAGCAACTGGCCGTGACGTCAATAAATACCAGAATGAGAGAGCAAGACGAACTCGACAAGAAAAAGAGGAAGCATCGGACAAAAGGCAGTATTGCCAAGTTTTGAATTTGAAAAAGCACCAAATTTTTATTGGTGTATTTTATAGAC